CTCAAAACTTTGGGCGGGTACCAAAAATTACCACGGAAAAAAAAAAAAAATATATATATATATATACAGAAAAAGAGAGAGCGGGAAAGAAAATAAAGGAAAAAGAAGTGGCAATTTTGGTAGGGTTGGCACTTGGCAGTCAAAGAAATGAATGTAAGTGGACGGCCAAATTTAAAAAACCAATTTTATTTTTTTTTTGGTTTCCTTTGAGCATAAGGGAAGAAAAGAACGGGGAAAGATGATGAGATGCGTTTCCTTTAGGTATTTGACTAAACCAATATCCATGTTTCCTTTAGGTATTTGATTAAAACAGGATTGGTGAGGAAGTCGGAGGATTAATCGTAACTAGGAGATAGGGTGAATTTGTTTTTAGTTCCGTTGCATCCAAAGCCACACAACTAGTAAATGTCCATGGAAAATGATGATTTCAATAACACGGCATAAACGAATGTGCCTTACATGGCTGTCTCAATTCCTTCACAAGTTCAGCATCAGTAAATCCAATGTAAGATATTGCCCTGCCTGCCAGCCATTTCAGCATAATCCTGCTGCCACACATCTAAACTCACATATTGGTGTTAGTTTTCCAAGTATATTTGGATGAAGTATTAGGTTTTAAATTAAGGGGATACAAATTAAAGTTCATATAATGGTTGAAAACATTATATCTATAAAATCCAAGAAGAATTACATAGTTGTCTCAGCTCAGTTAATTATAACAGACTGTTTCAGTGTTCATCATAACATGACCTTTCTTACATTATCTTCTCAATTCCCTCACAACTTGTGTCATTGCTACTGAGGGTAATCCCCTTCTTCTGGCCAGTCAACATGTCCTCAGCAGATACATTCAGAATTCCGTTGGCATCAATTTCAAAGCAGATGTTGAATTTAGAGACACCCCTTGGAGCTGGAGGAATATCTTTGAGCCTAAAATCACCCAAATAGTAATTATTCAACGTTGTTGTACTCTCGCCCTCATAAACGGCGAATCTAACAACAGCTTGGTTGTCATGGCGAGTGGTAACAGGATAATTCTTCTTGACAGGCATCTTGGTGTTTCTTGGAATCACAACTGTCATGTCGCGCTCTGGTCCAGTCTCCACACCAAGTGATAGAGGGGTGACATCCAAGAGAGTGAGGTCTTGAAGCTTCTCATTTCCCTTGCCACACAAGATTGCAGCCTGAACAGCAGCACCATGAGCCACAGCCTCATCCGGATTAATGCCTCTGCACAACTCCTTACCCTTGAAAACATTTTGTAAAAGTTGCTGCACCTTGGGAATTCTTGATAAGCCACCAACAAGAACAACATCATGGACACTGCTTATGTCCATTTTGGCATCCTTCAAACACTTATCCACAGGCTCCATACACTTGACAAAGATATCCCTATTGAGTTCTTCAAATTTAGCTCGAGTAACAGTTACATAAAAATCA